AATACCACTCCTGGGTATTTTACCTGAGTCAAAACACATGGCAACAAAAAATACTGTGGAAGAATGTTCTTGGCAGCTTTACTCATCATGGTCCAAACTGGAAACACCAAGTGTCCACCAACAAGCGAGTGGACAGACAAGCCACTACAAGGGAGGGAACAAACTTCAGAACCGGACAGAGCACTTGGGGTGCGGGGCTGTGTGCAGGATACTCTGGGAGAGGGAAACTCCTAGCTGGGGCGGCTGGTGGTGGGGAAGGGGGCTGGGAGCCACGGGAGGGTTTGTAGGGTCACTCAACAGTTCTCTAGCTCGACGACTGGTTGGCTACATGGCATAAACCCTTATCAGAGCATCTAAACTCTGTACATTTTACTGTATGCCAATAACTCACTTTAAATTGTTTTTACTTAAAAGAAAAACAGGCACAGGACATCCATGCATGATTCTAAACAGTGGTCTGAATAAGCTAATAAGCACGGAAAATGCTCAAATTCATGAGTCAGAGAAACACAAATCAACACAAGCCCACACAGTGTTTGCCCATTGCAGCGAGGATGGTGTGGGGACAGTGGGGTCTGGTAGGGCTCTACACAAGGTCACGGGGGCGGGGCAGGGGACAGTGAGCACCAAGAAATGTGGCTCAGCAGCACAAGGAGCAATCCGGGAGATCTTACTTTATGTTATCAATCGACAGTGTTTCTTAGGAACAGGCACCGCGTTACCTCCACCTCCTATCCTCACATGATCTCCACAGACCTTTCAGGGATATGTGCCCTTGCAACAGCAGGAGGCCACAGAGAGGAACAGACCGGGCCAATGGAAAGACAGAGGGCAGCCTTTCCCCTGCCCCACAACAGTGACCTCCCCACAGGGTGACTTCCTCCCACAATAATCTCCCCACCATGGTGACCTCGCCATGATGTCCCACTCCGGGCACCTGCATACCACCTGCACCTGCAGTCACCTGAGGCACAGACCAAAAAGGCGCGGGAACCCTGGCACGCAGCTCCCATCTTGCCCCCCAGCAACGCCCACCTCCGGTGGCTCCCCAACAGGTGCACTGCCACCTGCTTCTTCCACTGTGACATCCTCTGGACACTTCTCCCTGCAGGACACACTCCACAGGCGGACCTGTGCCACCATATGGGTGACCGAAGACGCACCACCAGTCCCAACTCCTCTGCTCCCTGGCTGGTGGCCCTGGCAAGCTGCTGATGGTCCTTACGGACGACAGACCACAGGAAGCACCAGGGACTCCGCCCGCCAGACAACTCCATAAATGTTGTGCTGGTGACCATGACTGTTCCACACTAGGTGTTAGTTACGACAAGTTAAGGGGCTGATGGTACAGTCGCCAAGGTGCGAGTGAAGAGAATGGGGTTAGGAGAATTGAGAGAGCAATTAACCCGACACAAGACTGAACCATACCAGTATGAATACTAGAACCAGTTGCCCAAGGCGCAGGTGCTTCCTGCAAAGACCTTGGTTATCTGTGCTCTAGGGTGTCTGCAGAAAAGATCCACTCAGCACCCCTCCCTGGGTGAAGCAGCCACAGCAGTTGAGGGAAAAGACACTTGAACAAGATCACCCACAGGCCTCAGGGTTCAGGCACACTTCCTGAGTTGGAAGAGCCGTGTGCTAGAATGTCAGTGAGCGATGATCGCCCCATCTTTTCAAATCAGCTTTAAACATGCTACGCTGTGTATCCCCGTAGAGGATGTCCTGACTCAACCTCCAACCCTCTCCTTCCGTCACACCAACCCCAGTGGTTTCTGAAACCTCTAGCCAAGAGTCCTATCGTACAACCTAGCAACTGCCAGCCTGTACCAAATAACCCCTGTGCCCTCCCCAATCCCGACACTTAACACAGACAAGGCAGAAGCCCTCTAAAAGCAGGGACCAGGAGGCAGAGGGGTGGAGGGTTAGGACAACAGCCAGCCCGGAGTTAGTGTGGCGCATGCCCTCACAGCTTCTCAGGCCAGTACAGGCCCCAGACAGAACACAAGGGACCCACATTCATCCAAGGCCATTGATAATACACATGGCACATGGTGTCCCCACAAACACACACAACTAGTTACACACACGTTACGGGACAGCTCTGTGGACTTGTTTCTTTTTCTGAAGAGCTGCCCCCATACCACCTCGTCCACATCGTTAGCAGTGCAGCCAAAGTCAGACAGTCATTGGAGAGGTGGACTCACCTCACAGGGAAAAACCCATCCTGGCAGAGCGATCACCTCTGTCACCTCTCTGGACAGTAGGAAACAAGCAAGAATGTGCAAAATCCAAAACAAGAGAACTTAAAGAGTGTATTCTGGAATCTGCTTGGACTCAGCCCCTCTGACATTGGGGTTACTCCCAGTAACCTGACTTTTTTTTTAAATGAACACTTAAACCAATTTTCAAAAGATTAGGAAGCTATTTGGCTCCACAGTTCTGCCCCACAAACCACTTCATGGTACAAATGCAAATTCCAAAAAGCTATGAAAACAACGTGTTTTTTCCTAAGCCCTCTCACAGCAAAATGTGATCCATCCTCAATTCATCTGGGGCAACACCCGACATGAAATAAGGTGGGGCTATTTAAAGTCTTAATTATCCCACAGAGAGGATACTCATTTAATTATGGATATATGGTTTATTCGATTATTAAAGACTTTCCCAACTCTTGTAGGAATATCATAGGATATACAGGATGCCTATTATCTTTCCAAAACCTGGAAAACTGTGAAGTTGTCAACATCTCTCTCCACCCCAGAGTTTAGGGTTTGGAACCTTCCCCACATTTATACAACACAGCATGAATTCCCCCAGCCTAGGTTCCAGAGCTGCTGTTTTTCCTGACACTTCATATGGCTTTCTAACCATTTCAGTTCAGGAAGAGGGTTCACAAGCTTTCAAGCTATGAGGTTCCTGTTATGTTTCTAAAGACCAAGACCGTGCTGGGTATTTTTATCTCCTGACGTGCCTAGATAGCAAAGGGAGTGGGTTCTATTGCACAACCCTATCAGCTAGTCCCATTTCCTCATTCTTCATCCTGGGTTTTAAGTGACTGGTAAGCTTCCTGCTCCACAGGACCCACCTCCCATCTTTAATTCCCGTCCTCCAGCCTGGCCCCGCCCCTGCCCTGATAGGAGCATTCTGAATGCTCTGACCTCATTTTGGCCTGCTGGAACCCTGGACACTGCCTGTCCTGCCCCAAGGATCCCCCCAGTACTGCACTGTCCTTCTGTCATTGGAGTGTGTCTAATTTTAAATTCCGGAAGGCAAAAATCACCTACTGTGCCCTATGAATCTCTTAAAAAACCAAGATAGTTGCCTGGTATTTTCAGAATAAAGGAACTGATCCGAGGGAACTCTCATTGTAACAGATACCACACTTGTTAATGTTAGCAGAGATTCTGGCCCCCACCTCTGCAAGAAAAGCCTGAGGTTTTCCTACCAAATCACATCCAAAATCTGTTCGTTTTTTACCCAAGTGGAGAAAAAGCATATGGTAATGCTGCAGCCAGAACATCCCTTCAGGCCTTTAGGAATTAGGACATCAGAAGGGTCCGCTAGTTTCCTGCCTCAGACTGAGCAGACATGGCAGTAGGTTGGGGATCGTGACAGCCTACGCCTGTAGTCCTGAGAGCTACCCCAGACAGGTCTGTGGTCCCACCTTGCACCACTCCAGCGCCCGATGCTAACTCAGGGAAATACCGTTCTGCTCCAGCACCAGCCTCAGAGCCAACTGTGTTCAGCCAGTAAGCATCAAGCTAGCAAAATGTGACATACCCCTGTGGGCGCCACCGACAAAATGTAAGGAAAATCCAGAGGAGAGAACGGATCACACCGACGATGGCAATAAACTCTGTGTGAGGAAGAGAAAGGACATCAGGAAGCTGGAGACAGCACGCAGAAACAAAGATGACTAAAAATGACCAGGAAATTCCTCCATGACTGGCGAGTCCAACCTGCAAGGCTGTGCACAGGTCACGACTGTTGGCATGCCCTAACCTAAATCACAAAGATCAGAGCAAGGGAAACAGGTGGCGACAGTTGGAAGCTGGGCTATAGGTCACAGCACGGTCTACCCCAAAGTCCAAGGACAACCACCCTCCCCAAGGGGCGCACGCACCCGCGCTCCGGACCCTGAGAACTGAGGACAGTCAGCGCGATGTCCGGAGACGCACTGCTGTCCCGCCAGCCCCACAAGGGCCATGACTCACCCCCGCCCAGCGCACTGCTCAGCCTTATGGGTCCCCTTCCTTCCAGCCCCGCCGTGGCCTCTCACCTGCCCACCACCTCCTCCCCACCACCGCCACTGCCTCTCCTCCGGCCACAGGTCGGCCCCGCACCTGCCACGACTACCACACCTCCCGCAAGGAAGTGCCCAGCCCCGCACCCCGCCTCACTCACCCACGGCAGTCACGCCGGGTCGGCCTCACCTTCGCCCGCCGCGGCGACCCTCCCCCACCCCCGCCCAGCGGGGCCGCCCCGCACCTGGCCGGGTCCGGCCCCGCACCTGGCCGGGTCCGACCCCGCCCCCTCCCGGTCGGCCCCGCGCCTGGCCGCTCCGCGATGGCCCCCGCGCCCCCGGCCCGGGCCTCACCCTCGGCCAGGACCCGCCGCACCCGCAGCCGCAGCTCGCCCAGCTCCACCGTCTGCCCCACGAAGTCCGTCTGGTCGCGGCCGGCAGCGCCGCCCAAAGAGCCCGGGCCTGCCAGGAAATCCAGCGCAGACTGCAGCAGCGACATGGCCGCGGCCCCGCAGCGGGCGCGGGAGCGGGGAGCTCAGGGTCCAGCAGCGTCCGGGTTCGCTCAGTAACCGCCGGCCCCGAGCTGCACCATCTTCCGCCCCGACGCCGTGACGTAGCCGCGGGGGCGCGCCGCAGCTGGGAAAACGCCGCGCCTCAGTTCCGCCGCGCCAGGAGGGTGCGCGTGCGCGGACTCCCGGTCGCGGATTGCGCCTGCGCGGCGCCGCCGGCCTCGTGACGAGCTTCCGGCCGCCGAGCTGCTGGTGCCCCGCGGGTCCGAGCGTGGACGTCTGGGCAAGCGGTGGGGCTTCGGGCCCAGCGTCTAGCCGCTCCCCGCGCGGCCGTGTCTGCGGAGGCCACTTGTCAGGGTGCTCGGACCTGCGGGAGCGGCGCGGGGAGCCGCTCTGGAGGAGCGTGCCGTGCGGCCGCCCAGCCAGGGACATCCCCGCGACTTGTTGAGTAAGGTCGGTAGCGCCGGGCGCGCCGCGGGAAGGGCTTGTGCTCCTGGCGAGTTGGTTCCTACCAAAGGCCTGAAAAGCTTAAGTTAAGTTAAAGGAACCCCAGGTTTCCAGCTTGTGTAGAAAAGTCAGACTGGCCGCATCGGCCCCAGAATCACGGGCGTCCCCGCTGCCCGGCAGGTGCGCCTCAGCGAGATGCGGGTCCCCCTCTGCGCAGCGACGCGGTCAGCCTGGTTCGCGCCAGCATCCCCCGGATTCGTCCTCAGACTGAAACCGGGTCTGAAAGCCCCAACCAGCGCCCTAGTTCGCCTGGAATTTCACGTTATTAAAGAGCTTTTGGACAAACGTGTGTTACTGTCCTTACGGTAACAGTAGCCTCGTTCGCACCGTGCTAGTTTAGGACGGCCTTTCACGGGTACCTCGGAGTTAAGGCACAATGCCCCTGCCCCCACCCCGCTGCCTTTTTCGGGGGCAAGAAAGCGTGCTTAGCAGTGTCCCGACTCGGCCGGCGCCAGCAAGCGCGGCCGCTGGATGCTCCCCGGGTCGTGGTGTCTCCAAGCAGTGCCCTCATCTGGGGTCGGTGAGGATAGGGGCTCAGGAAAGAGGCCAAGCTACAGATTGGTCTTTGACGTCCTCAGCATGTGCACGGCAGCTGACTGTCTCAAGCTGAAGAGAAAAGACAGAAACAGACAGAAGGCTGTTAGAACATTCTAAATGGTGTTAGACAAGCGTGTGGAGAAGGAGCGGCCTAGGGACACAGGGAGAAAACCAAGGGAGCATCGTGGCCCTAGCCAGGGAGCGATGCTCCCCACTCCCAGAGGCAAGAAGCTCTGTAAGAGTGAAGTAGAGGAAGAAAGAAAAGATGTACCTTGGGTTTAGCAACAAGGAGATTGTCTTGTGACCGTTCAAGACTAGTCTCATTGGAGTGGTTAGGGGAGAAGAAGCATAAAGAAATGAAGAGTTGGCAGTGACTCGAGAGGTTTGGCTATGGAGAAGGAAGTGTGGGAGCTAGAAGGGTGGTGTGGGGTTGAGATACTTCAAGATAGGAAGTTTTTGAGCAGCTTGAAGCTGATGGGAGGGAGTCCGTGCAGAGAGAAAGTTTGTGGTTACAGCAGAAAGAGGAACAGTGACTAAAAGTCCCCGGAAGATAGGAGGGGAATGACATCCAGAGCATAGTGAGAGTAACATTCACTTTGGGCGCAAAGCAAACACTTTTCATACCAAAGGGAGGGAGGGAAGATAGGTTGCAGTTGCAGGTAACCTTGTGTGTTTATTGGAATGAAAGGGAAGGAATTCTCTAAAACCTTCTATTTTCACTATGAATGAGTGAAACAAAACATCTACTGAAAACAAGAAGGGGGGTAAGAAAGCTAAGGTTTAAGCAGTGTGGAAAAGATACAAAATAGCTGATGTAAAAAACTTAATGCATAATTCAGTAGAAAGCATGGTAGAGTTTGCAGGTTCCTTTGAATTTGGAGGCCATGAGTTTATCCTCGTATGACCTAAGATCAGGTAGAAAGAGTTTTAAATAGTGTAATTACTTTAGAGACCAGAGTTTACTCACGTTTTTATTTCATAAATATTTATATCCTGGCACGGCAGAGACCATGTTAGCTCAATCTCCACACCACACTTCTCTTCCAAACTCTTAGACCTCTGTTAGACATCTCATTTGTATACATGTTTAAAACTGAATTTACGGTCTTCATCTGAAAGCCTCTTCCTCTGTAGATTCCACAGCAAAGAATATTGCCAGAAATTAAGAGGGTCATTTCCTAAGGATGAAACAGTACATTCATCAAAAGTTGTAACAATTCTAGTTTTGCACCTAATAATAAAGCTTTAAAATACATGAAGCAAAACCAGATTTTTTAAAAATCAAAACCCAATTATAAATGGGTGTTGTAGATTGTAGTTGGAGATTTCAATAACCCTTTCACAGTATATGATAGAACAAGCACGGAGAAGTTCACCAAGGATCTAATTGAATGATACCATCAACCAGCTTGACCTAGTGGACATTTATGGAACACTTTACCCAATACCAGCAAAATACACGTTTTCAAGTATGTAAAGAACATTTACCAAGATGGATCATATTCTGGGCTATGAAACAAATATATGTTCTCTGACCACAATGCAATTAAGTTAAAAATCAGTGATAGGTATCTGGAAAATTTAAATACTTGGAAACTGAATGACTCACTTGTAAATTACCAATGGGCCAAAGGAGAAGTCAGAAGGAAAATTAAATTTTGAAGTGAATGAAAATAAACATGGAACATTTTAAAATTTGTGGAATGTAGCCAAAACAATACTAGAAGATAGTTTCAAACCAGTAATTTCAGTCATTCATCTTAAGAAACAAGAAAAACAAGAGCAGATGAAACCCAAAGTGAGTACAAAAAGGGAAATAATAAGTGTCAGAGTGGAAACCAATGAAATAGAAAACAAAAACAAAATCTGTGACAACAAAAGCTGATTCTTTGAGAAGACCAGTAAAATACAGAAATCCCTGGCCATATTGAACCAGGAGAAAAAAAAAAGAAAGACAAATTAATAACATCATGAATAAGAGTGATGATGTCAGTGCTAAAAGGATAATCAGAGAACATGAACATTTTATGCCAACAAATTCAGCAGCTTAGACTAAAGGAACAAATTCCTTGGAAGACACTACCATGGCTCTGTCACTCAAGGAAAAAACAATAGATAACTTGAATAGCTTCATATCTCTTAAAGCATTGAATTTATAGTTAAAAACTAGAAATATTTTAATTCTGCATAAACTGAAAATTGAAGGAAGGAGGTATTAACCAACACAGCCCATTCTATAAGGACAACACAATTCTGACACTGAAATTTGACAAAGACATTACAAGAAGAGAAAAAGACTAATATCTCTCGTGGACATAGATACAAAAAAATTTTTTAAAACATGTTTTAGCAAGTTAAATCCAACACCACAGAAAGGACAGTACAATATGACAAAATGAGGTTTATCCCAGGAATCCAAAGTTGGCTTTGCATTTGAAGATTGGTCATTGTAATTTACACTATTAACAGAGTGAAAAAGAAAACCAAATGGATCATCTTACTAGACAGAAAAAACATGATGAGACCCAACATCCATTCCTAATTAAAAAAAAATAAAAATAACTGCCAACAAACTGGGAATGAAATGAAGCTTCACCAGCATATTAAGGGCATTTATGGCACTCCTGGGGGCTCAGTTATCCAACTCTTGATTTCAGTTCAGGGTGATCTCAGATTCAGGTTTATGATCTCAGGGTCATAAAGTCGGGCCATATCTGGCTCTGCACTGAGCATGGAGCCTGCTTGAGATTCTCTCCCTCTCCCTTTGCCCCTCCCTGCCATGTGCATGCTCATTCTCTCTCTCTCCCTCTAAAAGTAAATAAAATAATTTGGGGCGCCTGGGGGCTCAGTTGGTTGGGCAACTGTCTTTGGCTCAGGTCATGATCCTGGAGTCTCGGAATCGAGTTCCACATTGGGCTCCCTGCTCAGTGGGGAGTCTGTTTCTCCCTCTGACTTCTTCCCTCTCACACACACTTTCTCTCTCTCTCTCATTTCTCTCTTTCTCTCAAGTAAAAAATAAATTTTTAAAAAAATAAATAAAATAATAAGGGCATTTATGAAAAGGCTATAGCTGACATATAGAATGATAAAAAACTGGATCAGTAACAAGCCAGAGTTGTCAGATCTTACCTCTTCTGCTCATCATTGTTGAAGAAATTCTAGCCAGTGTGTAATGGGGCAAGAAAAAAAATCTCCCAGATTGAAAATAACAAGTAAAATTGTTTATGAAGATGACATAATTCTTTATATTACTTTCCCAGTCTTGGTACCATTGATATTTGGGGCCAGATAATTCCTTATTGAACTAAAGGGGTGGCATTGTCGTCTAGTGTGTTGTTGGATGTTAAGCAGTACCTGTACCTCTATCCCCAGGATACTATTAACATATGTCATTTGTCACAACCAGAAATCTCTTCAGATATTGCCAAATATCCCTCAAGGGACATTACCACCCTCAGTTGACACTCACTGCTCTATGTAAAAAACAAAAAACCACAACACACACACAAATGGGATCTGCAGAAAGACCTACTAGTACTAATAAGTGAATTGAGCAAGATTGAAGAGTATGAGATCCATATGCAAAAAATAAGTCCCATTATTTCTCGATAACCAGCGAGATAGTAGAAGTTGAAATGAAGGGGAGATGCCATTTACAACAGCATCAAAAAATATTAAGTGCTTGGGATAAATCTGAAAAAAGATATGCAAGATTTATACACTGAAAACTAAAAAATGTAGCTGGGAGAAATTAAAGACATTTATAAATGGAGAGAATACACCATATTCATAAATTGGGAGATTCAGTCAGACTGATTCTTCTCAAGTTGATCTATAGATCCAGTGCAGTTCCTGGCAAAATCCAAGCAGACTTTTTGTAAAAATGGACACACTGATTCTAAAATTAATTTGGAACTGCAGAGGAAGTAGAATCCTCCAAATGAGTTTGAACAAGGGCAGGTTATATGACTTACTTTGCCTAATTGACCACAGTGCTAATTATAAAACCACAGTAATCAAAGTAGTATGGTACTGATTAGAGGTACATAAGTAAATCTGCAGCAGAATAGTCAGAAATTGGCTCACAAGTACATACAAGTTCAGTTGATTTTTGACAAAGGAATAAAAGTAATTGAAAAGATAGGTAGTCTTTTCAAAAAATGATGCTGGAAAAATTGGATATCCTTATGTTTAAAAATGTTGATTCATACCTTGTATTATATACCAAAAAATTATAAATCTAAATGTGAAACCTGAAACCATAAAACTTAGGAAAAGTGACATATTTTGTTATGACACTAAAGCACAACCAATAAAAGAAACAGTTAACCTGGATTTAATCAAAATGTACTTCAGAGTACCTTGGAATGGATAAACTGGTACATCTATAAAATGGATTATTAGCAGTA